GGATTTTTATTAATAAAATAATAATAATATTAATAATAATAAATAATAAAAATATTAAAGAAAATAAAATATAATGAAATAAAAAAATGAAAATGAAATAATTAAAGAAAAATGGGCCAGGGGGTGCTGAAGTAAATCAAGGTTAGTGAAAACAAAAAAAAACAAGAGGCCCAAATGGAAGCCCAGACGCTGCAAAAAAAAGCTCAAAAAATGTCAAAAATAGTGAAAAAAATGCAAAAGGTTGCGTTGGGGCTTGAATCCAGGACCTAAGGGTGACAGGCGCCCGCTTTAACCACTGGAGTGGTGATACATTCGTTAACTTGCGTGAAAGGATAAATGCATAACACAAAATACGTCCTGATTACACTTCATCTTCAACCTCCAGCCAAAGGATCTGTAACTTGCTCATTTCTCAACCATTTGCAAAAATGTAAACATGAAAATTGCTCCATTTTGTCACACAAATCCAACCATATAAATATCATAAGCTATAAATCAAAGATAAATGAGAATTTCTAAAAGTACCAAATTCTAACCTAAATATTTCAGAAAGTTTAAACTCAAAATTCTCCTAGCTCAACCAAAATAAATGAAATCTATGGACGTGTATAGTTTCAGGGCAATGATGTCTACATTTTATCTTCACAAATACAAGCCTAACAATGCCTAAATATGAAGGTAGAAGTTCAAGAAAAATACCTCAAAACTGGAAATCGTGAAATGGATTTGAGCTTATTTCAGGCAGTGGTGATGATCAGGCTAGCTTCCTCAAGTCCCCAGGAAGCTAATGCAATTGTTTGCTTGAGCAATGGATGGCTAGAATGGTCTGGAGAAGTCAAGTTTCAGACCTCTATTTTTGGTTATGGAGGATGATGAAGATGGAGTTACAGTTTCAAACCAAGGACAGGGATGGACTATATTTAATGTAAGGAAGCTTTAGGAATGAATTTGAGGGTAAACGCATGAGGGAAATGAGAGATATAAGTTTAAGGTCAAAACTGTGTATCAATGGAGTTTTTTGTGCAATCTCAAACCCTAATTTTGGTCATCAGTGCTTAAGGAGGTGTCTTGAGTTGATCAACCCTAGTGCAGTCTTGAACCAAGAGAGATCTTTGTGAGAAAATATTTGATAAATGAGAGGGCAAATTTTGGGGTACAACAACAGGTTTTCAGAGAAAGCATCATTGAACAAAAGGCTGTCAATGAGAAAATTCAGAACATGCTGAAGCTGATTCTTGACAAGATATCTGCTCCAACACCTCCTGCATCTGGACCTTAGGCTCTTAGGCTTTTATTTTAGCTTTTGCTTTTGAACCTTAGAACTCTTGCTTCTTATGTTTTGCTTCTTATGTTTTCTTTTCTGACTTATGATCTTCTAATTATTAATGAAGTTTATTTTGGTTTATCACTTCTTATTTTACTTGTTATTTCTTCTGGTTTTTATGTTTTTCACACATAATTACCTTTTTGATTATGACAAAAAGAGGGATGATAACGCGAAATTATAGTGTTTATTCGACTCGACTCGCATGAATTTTAGTATTGTTTTCGTTCATTTTTATCTTGTTATGTCGGTATTTCTATTCTATTTCCGGTATATTCTAACACAGAGCTCACATGCGAGAAAAGGACGAGAAACGGCTAAGAAATGGAGGAAATTGAAAGAATGGAAGAAAAGAGAAGAAAATGGAGTTCTCAAGTTGTGGCCCTAGCCGCGGACCTGTGGCCCTCGCCACACATAGCGTGGCCCCCTGCCACTGCTATTTTTTCTCCAGCCACATATTTTAGTGATTTTTCTTATTCTGTTTTGTGCTTCTTCTCCATGTCAGTGCTCACGCAAGCAACATCTCCCGATAAATTCTCCATGTTACCACTAGTGTCTGGTTCTTCTCCATGGAAGTTACAAGAATTGAAGGAGACTATAAAAAGTAAGTAGTTGCACAACAAAAAGGGGGGTTTTTCCACCATTTTTCGTTCATAGCAGATTATTATTCTTAGTTCTTAGGCACAAAAGTTTACCATATAAAAGTGGTAGTTTCTCACATCGAGGAACTACCACACCATTAGTTTTAGGTGTTATTTATTTTATTTCAATTTTATACCTGATTGTCAAGTGTGCCAGCATATTATGAATTCAATTTATTTTATTGTACGCGAAGAGAATTTCATAATTTAATTCTAATTTCTTTTATTTTTGTTGTTACAGGTTTCTCTTTATCGCATTTCTTATTTATATTGTTTCGTTTGTTTTTAATTACCATGCTATTCTTAGTTGCAATTGTTATGTTTAATTTGTTTACACTTAATTCCATGTTTAGCTAATTTAACTTGAGTCTGGTATGTGAGGATGGTCGTTCCCGACAGGACTCGGTAATAAGTTGGCTTAATACCTAATTTAAAAATACAGTTTTGATCTTTATTTCTTAAACTTAATTTAAATAGCCTTGTCATGAGAGTGAGAGGTTATTTAACACGACTTTGTCACGAGAGTGGGAAATTAACTAAGGTTCGAGACGACACTGCGAGAGTGTGGGGGTCAAACCAGATAGTAAGAACGGGGCATCGATTCCTAAAGAGGGCGGGAGTGCTTTAGGTGTCAATTAGAACTTTTTCAGTTTTCAAAATGTGTTCCTTGATTAGAATGGGCGAGCGAGATGAAAATATCATTGTTAAGAAACATGACTTTATTCAAAACCACGAGAGTGTGAGATATTGTCTTTAAATTTTTATTTTCTACTAAACATATTTTTAACATCAGTATAAGCCAACGAGTTACAGAGTCCCTGAGGTAAGCGGAATACACATTCATGTCTCTCTTTTCTTATATTTATCTTAATCTCTATTTTATTTAAGTTTTAGTTTTTAGTTTCCCCTAAATCAAGTATTCATTAGCCTTAGCTATACAAAGCGATGATAGATTACAATAGTTTGATATTGGTCTCTGTGGGTTCAATAATCTTTTATATTACTTTGATATTTCCGTGCACTTGCGAACGCATCCGGGGAGTAATTAAATGAATGTAATTTTGATTTCAATAATCAATTTTGGAAAATGTTCTCTGAAAAAAGTTGCTTACATTCTAACCCCGTTAAACTTTTGTTTCTGTTAGAATTGTTTTCTTTTTCAGGAAATGAGAACTCTGATTAAAGACAAAGATCTGAAAGCATTATCCTGACTCAGACTCTGAAGATATTTTTCAGTTCATAATCAGACTCTAAGAATTGAGAATCTGGAAGTTGTCTTAGTGACATTAAAGTTTTCAAGACTTCAATTGATTTCATTGGCATCTTAGAGTCAAGACTCTCAAGATCTCAATATCTGATCTTTTGGAACCAAGGAGAGTTTTACTCAAATGGTTCAGAGTCGGGATATTCGAGCTTCATCAAGTCGTTGACTCAAGGGGAGTTTCATAAAAAGGATAAGTGTTCTTGTTCTTTTTATTTTCACTTTTTCTGATTATATGAACAAAATTGTGTCATGAAAATACATAGTTTTGTCATCATCAAAAATGGAGAGATTGTTAGAACAAGATTTGGTCTGCAATATTATCTGAGTTTTGATGATAACCAATGAGTACGTTTGTATGAACAATTTTGATACTCTAATGTTTGTTATTTTGAGTATTTAACAAACAGGTTGTGCTTCTGATGGATGGTGTGGCCAAAACATTAGAAGAGAATTTGTTTTGCTTCTGCAGTACACAAGTTCTGATGAATAGTGGTAAGACACTCCAGAAGCTTCTGAAGTCTAGGTTCTGATGTTTGTCTAAAGAAACAAGTCAGAAGATCTGAAGGCAAAAGTTCTACTTAAGTCCAGATATTGAAGACTCATACTTCTAAAGACAACGTGTTCTAAAGAAACCATTCAGAAGTTCTGAAGACAGAAGTTCTACTTAAGTCCAGATGCTAAATACTCATGTTTCTGAAGACAACATGTTCTAAAAGAAACCAAACAGAAGATATGAAGATAGAAGTTCTACTTAAGTCTAGATGCTAAAGACTCAAGTTTCTAAAGACCAATGGTTCTAAGAAAAAGGGTTCTAAAGACCAAGTGCTGAAGACTCTGAAGACAAAAGTTCTAAAGACTCTGAAGACTTGAAGTTCAGAAGACCCAAGGTTCTCACAACCAAGTACTGAAGACTCCAAAGACGTAGTTCTGAAGACTCTGAAGACTTGAAATTCTGATGACCTTGTATTATGTTCTCTCTTCTGAGCTCATGCTCGCAGAAGCCTCTAAAGTACAAAAGGAAAGAAGATAACATTAACATAGTACAAAAAGTACATGGTACAAATAAAATGTTCCATTCCATTACCATGAAGGACGGGCGTTGCGTATGATCTTGTCCCCCACGTAATTCAAGCTGCCAACTTTCTGGAAATTCCAGAAATACACTTCAACTATTATAAGAGAGAAAGCTGCTAATTCACGGATTATCAATGCATAAGCGTTGTTCATAGCTTTCATACTTTTTAGTCTATTATTCATAAAAATAGTTTACATATTCAACTTGTGTAGAAGCAATATTATTGTAAACAAAACTTGTATTCAAACAGTTGTTTGATTTCCTTAAGAGGCCAGTTAGGTCAGTATTCTTGAGAAGTCTATGACTAGTGTGTCTTACAGATTTGATTTTCCTTAAGAGACCAGTTAGGTTTGTATCCTTAAGAAGTACAAGATTAGTGTGTCTTAGAAGTTGTTGTTAGTCACTTGCGGGTAACTTGTGCATTGTAATAATCAGTTGGATTATTGGATTAAGTCCTTGTTGAAAATACGAAATCACCTTGGCGAGTGGACTAGACTAGCTAGATAATTTTCAAGTGAACTAGTATAAATATACATTGTTCTTTACTTCATGTTCTTAATTATTGTTATTATCAAGAGTGGAGAAAACATATTTGATTTAAATGGAATTATTTTTAAAGAATTTTTTTTTGATTCAAAACCCAATTCAAACCCCCACCTTTCTTGTGTTTTTCACACCTTCAATATCCATCCCTTATCACTTGAGTAACCTGAAACAAAATGCAAAATTTTATAAATATTTTTGAAAGAGATTAACACATATTACCTAATGTACTGCAATATATTGTTTCCACAGAGATTGTAAACATCACAATTTATTCATAGTTTCATTAAAAATGTCTACATTAATAAGTTTTTTTGAGCAATTTTTTTATTAATGTAGACATTTTTAAAGAAACGGTGAATAATTTGTGATATTTGCAATCGTTATGGAACAATATACTGCAGTACATTAGGTAATATTTTCGATTAACATTAATAAGTTATATAAACCTGAACATTAACATTTTTTATTAACATTAACATGAAACCATGGACGAAACGATAATAGTATAAACCATGAAAACATTAATAGTGACAAAATTTTTTTGAAACAACCACGAAAGCACAAACATTAAAAGCAGAAAGGTTGAAGTTGACACAAACCTTGGAATGGAAGAAGTTGAAGAATCGATTATGTTTAGAAGTAATGAGCACATGAGTATTAAAATGGTCATGTATATGTTAATAATCACGAATGATGATGAGAGAACTTGAGGAAAACAAATATGTTTTGGAAAAACAAATGAGTTGAAACAGTTTGTGTTGGAAACAAACGACAACCCCTATGATATATCAGAAGGTTAATGGAAAGGAAAATTGATTCTAATTGATTAATGGAAAAGAGAAAAATAAATGCTGACTGATTCTATTTCTCACGGGTCCCGTAAAAATATATGTTGATTGGTTGAAATAGAAGAAGAATGAAAGCTTAAAAAATTTCCATGTGAATTTAATAAGATAGTTAATTAATTACTGTTATAGCTTTTTATAGCGGGTAAATTTGAAATGGTAAAGGACAATAAATTTTAATATAACTAGTAAGAAACCAGTGCTATAGCACGGATCCCGTCTAGATTCACATCACATGTCTACCAAGCTATCATTTGTAAAGTTAGAATCCATTCTTCAATTGGTTAACATTCACATAGTTATAAATATAGACTAATAATATGTACCAATTTTTATGAATTGATTTGTACGTACACTAAATCGTAAAACAATAGTAAAAAAAAGATTTTAAAAGATGGACATTAAAATCTATCATCTATAATCTATAATAATATATCTATAATAATCTATAAAAGCAATACATTTTTTAGGGTAGCCTATTTTATTTCCAATTAATAACTTAAAAATTAATAGTGGTTCCTTTATTTTTTAAATGGTTACCACATTTTCTTGAGGTTTTAAACCTCCTAAGAAAAGCAAATACTTTCCCACCAGCAGAAACAAATCAAGAAGAGAAGTAGTCAACTTGAGTAATAAGAAACTGCAAGCAGGACATAATCCAAATGTATAATGTTGCCCAACATCTATAAAGGTTTCAGTTAAGGTAGAGTTTTGCTTCAATATCTTTTTTTCATTTTCTACCATTTTCAAATATTTCCATCACTCTCTCAAGTGCATAATTTGTGAGGATATCCTGTCTCCTAACTCTCGATCTCATCTCCAACCATCATTAACATCCCTCTCAATTCAAAATTAACATCGAAATGATTTAACAACTCAAATCAACTTTCACAAAAAGTTAAAACAAAAAGATGAAAATGAGTTTTTTTCCCTAATTTGGTTTTCTTCTGAGCATAAGTTTTTCAAAAAGCTGAAAATAAATTCATTTAGATATACTCAATCCAAGGCCAAAACTTGTAACAAAGAATGTAGTTTTTGATTGAATAGGTTTTTGAGTCATATGAGCACTTAGCTTTTCCATAACTGCATTTGAAAACTATATGCAAAGCAAGAACAAATTAGATAGTGGTAAACTGGAAATCCATGCAAGTGAGCCAATAGTGATACTTATAGTCAGCTGGAACATCATTATATATTAGAATGAATATGGCCAGCAGAAGAGTATGCTCCCTTTAAAGAGAAATAAAAAAGGACAATGTACTTAGACAAACTGTCGCTGCAAGTTACTGAAATGATGCTCTTAAACGTTTTATCAAACATGTGGTGTGCATCCAAGTTAAGCCAATATTATATATAGAGATTAAGGAACCAACAAAGAAAAAGCCAATAAATGTTTAGAATACTAATCAGGATGGGAAATCACCTTTTCAAGCTAATCAAATCCATCTACTTGTTTAAGAAGCTCCATGAGAGTTCTTTGAATTTCACGGTCAACACTTGTTCCTTCACTAAAATACCGCCCACCAATAGCATCAACCACATCCATGAATCTGATGCAAGGCTAAACAAAATGATAAAAACATTTACAAATTAATTATGAGTAGGTATTTAGAATGAAATTCAATTTGCGGTAACAAAATCTCTTCCTACCTGATGATCAAGAATGACAGAGTCTAAATTGGCAGTTCGCATTTTGGATCTTTGCGACAGCGAGTCTGTTGATGATAAAACACATGGACTAAAACAACAACAGAAGAAAAACCACCGTAAAAACAAAATATATGAAACAAACTCAAAATATGAAAAGCAGAGAACCGAATGATGGTTTAGGCCATGATACCTGCGTGGTAGAACTTGTAGCTTGGAAGAAGAAGGGTTGTGGGTTTCAAAAGGTATAGCTTTGCATATTTATGGGTTAGAGACTAGATTTCGAAAGTTGAACAGTTGGGCGGTAAGTTTTTGTTGGAACATGTCCATGTTCCAATATATTGAATTTAAAAGTTTCTGAAGTTCCACATTGTTAGAATATCTTTTTGTTTGAAAAAATCATTTAGTCCCACATTGCTCATGTGAGAAATATTAACTATATTACTTCACTATATAAGGAGTACACATGTTTCATTCCAAATCACACCAAAACTATTCTATTAGTTTTTCCTTTCTCACTCTCATAACTTTGCGTCTCTCGAATTGTCGAAGCGTCATCTTCTTCCCCTTTCTTCCTACTCGTTGAATTTTCCGAGTATTTTCTTGAATTCTCTTTAGAGAATTATGTTAATTTCTCCTCATTTGAGTTGAGAAATTTTCAAGTTTAATCTTTTGGATTCTCTTTGGAGAATTATTTGAATTTCTCTTTGTTGGAGAAATTATTATGAGTGGTCAAATGACCATTATTAATTTCTCTTTGTAGAATTATTTGAGTTTCTTTTTGTTTGAGAAAGTATTATGACTGGTCTTTGTACCAGATACTACGAGTGGTGATGATACCATATTTGAATGATCTTGTACCATCAGAGGGTGTATTTCTAGACCTATTATCTACCATGCAAGTAGTGATCGTACAGTATAGAACTGGGTTGTTTTATCCTGGAGGTGGCGCGGTAGTTCGACTGCTTTGCATAATTTTGAGCAGTGTCGCGAAACGTCTTAAAGAGAGCGACCTAGTCCACGACTCAACCTAGTAATTTCTTCGGTGGCAAATATTTCAAAATCTGAAAACAACAGTTTTAAGACATTTCAAACTTCCATGGCTACTGAAGAAATGATTGGTTCTTTTGCGGATATTGTCTTTGAGAAATCGTTCATGTTTGAGAGAAGTCACTTCAAACTTTGGCAACAAAAGATGAAGTTCTTAACTTTAAAAAAAGTTGCTAACATTCTGATCGATGACATTCTGTTGCTCCTTCTGGATCAATCGAACAAACTAATGGTAGTAAATCTAGAGATTTAGAAGGAATACTTAATAGTGTTGAAGTTGAATCTGCTGCACAGATTAAAGCGAATGATTTACAACATAGTAAAGAAATCACCTTATAGAAAGAGAATGAAAATCTCTACAAAATCATATTTTGAATAGACTCGCAGATGATATGTATGATAATTACAGTTGATGTGATACTGCAAAACAAGATTGAGAGAATAAGTATGACGTAGAAGCTGGAGCAAAGAAGTATGTTGTTAGCCGTTACTTCAAGTATCAAATGCAAAGATGTAAGGTCGATGGAGGCTCAATGTTACGAACTTCAAAAGATTGTTTAAAAGATCATCACAAAAGGTATGTGTTTAAATTAACAATTTCAAATTGGTTTTATTATTGACAAACTACCCCATAGTTTGAATGTTTAAAAAAAACAAAAAAGGGAATCTTAGAGACAATATCAAAAAGAAAAAGTCTTGGTTGTTTCAAACAACAAAAAGAAATTCAGTGTAGTTCTGAAGTCATTTGGCAAATGATTAAAGAATCAGAACTGCAATATTGTGAACCGAATAAAGAATGGGAATCCTTCTATGATCCCAATAGCTCCAACTAGGCAACAACCACTACCTAAAAGAAATGACGTTGGTTTCCCTTTGTTTTAATTATGGAAAATCAAGTCATATGACTAAGAAATGTAGAAGTAAGCTTGAACTTGGTGTTGTCCCTAATGCACATGTCAACTTGACTAATGGGCAATTTATTGCTATGGTCATTGAAATCAACATGGTTGATGGATATGTTGATTGGTGGAAAGACACATGTGTCTCTCGTTGTGTATGTCATGACCGTGTTATGTTTAAACATACACGAATACTATGTTAGAACATAGTTTGATTCTACAACCCTTGATTAGAGTTTTGATGATAACAAAATACAAAGAATAATTAAATTCAAAGATATATACAAAGAACAATTATGCTCCTTAAAATTATGTTTTGTATATGCAGAAGTTTTGATGGAATCAGCATCAGAATGGAATCAACATCAGAAGATCAGCAATATATGCTACACGCTGAAGCTACCAGATTATACGCTGAAGTTTGATGACCAGAATCTGCGCCTAATCAAGTACACTCTGACTCTGATCAAAGACATCTTTACCAAGTCATCAACACTCTGAAGCGTTATCAGCATATAAAGCAAAGAAGACTCTGAAGCGTTATTAATTATTCAAGACAGAATTAAATGCTAACGGCATTCTTCAAACAAGATCTTCTTCAAAAGGAAAGTATGTTATTATCATTAAACTTGCTTTATGGACAATGTATCTTTGCCTTGCCTATATAAACAAGTCTGCTTGTGAAAAGAAGCATGTACGTACGCACACAACAATTTGCCAAGCCTTCCAAACCACGCATATTCAAAGCTTTAGCAAATTCATTTTATTCCAAGCTTAATTTGTGTAACTATCACAGTTGTGATATACTGTTTTGTTAGAAAACAACAACACACTCTTGTTCAATTATTTGTAAAAGATTTCCTTGAGATAAATCGGTTTGTGGTTATACTCAAGAAGACTTTAACAGTTGTTAAAGTAGCTGTTGTAATCCTTTGAGATTAGTGGATTAAGACCTCGTTGGAGAGATGCGAAATCACCTTGACGGGTGGACTGGAGTAGTTTGAGATCAAACGAACCAGGATAAAAATACTGTGTTATTAAGCCTTTTGATTTAAGTTTTTCAATTCAACCCCCTCTTCTTATGTTTTTCACATCTTCAATTGGTATCAGAGCTCATGGTTCTGAGCTTATAACACTTAACCGTGTCAGTACAAGATCCAGCGTCAGAAAAACACAATGGCAGGACCAAGTCAAAACATCAACAATGACAACAATGAAGAAAGGTACAGATTCAGTGGCAAACCTCCAGTCTTTGATGGAGAGAACATTGACTACTGGAAAGACAGAATTGAGAGTTTCTTTCTGGCCCATGATGTTGATCTGTGGGACATGGTGACTGATGGATACAAGCACCCAGTGGATGGACGTGGTCAGAAGATTGACAGGAAAATGATTTCTGATCAGCAAAAGCGTGAGTTCAGAAATCATCACAAGGCCAGAACAATTCTTCTCAGCGCCATCTCATATTCAAAATATGAGAAGATATCAAACAGAGAAACTGCCAAGAATATGTTTGATTCTCTGAGAATGACGCATGAAGGCAACATTCAAGTCAAAGAAACCAAAGCCCTTGCGCTCATTCAGAAGTATGAGGCATTCAAGATGGAAGATAGTGAATCAATAGAAACTATGTTTTCAAGATTCCAAATTCTTGTTGTTGGTCTAAAAGTTCTTGACAAAGGGTATTCCACTGCTGACCACGTTAAGAAGATCATCAGAAGCTTGCCAAAACAGTGGAGGCCAATGGTCACGGCACTTAAGCTAGCCAAGGATCTCAACAAAATCTCTCTGGAGGAACTTGTTAGCTCCCTCAGAAGTCACGAGATAGAGCTAGAAGCAGATGAGCCTCAAAAGCAAGGTAAGCCATTAGCTTTAAAATCTAACAGAAAATCTGACTCCAAAGTTTTGCAGGTTGTGGAAGAAACCTCTGATGGATCCTCATCAGAAGAAGATGAATTGTCTCTTCTCTCCAGAAGGGTGAACCAACTGTGGAAGCAGAGGCAAAGGAAGTTCAGGAATCCCAGAAGATCAGAAAATCAGAATGAATCTTCCTCCAGATATAGAAGGTCAGAATCCTCCTCTGGACACAGAAGATCTGAAGGTTCTTCAGGATACAGAAAGCCAAACAACAAAGACATCATTTACTATAAATGCAACGAGCAAGGGCACTACAAAAGTGATTGCCCAAAGCTTCAGAAGGAGAAGCCCAAAAAGAAGTTTGGCAAGGAAAAGAAGAAAAGTCTCATGGCTACATGGGATGATTCTGACACATCTGAAGCTGACTCAGAATCAGATGATGAAAGAGCAAACATAGCTCTCATGGAAAACGTAACTGAAGACAGTGAAGCTTCTGAGTCAGACTCCGAATCAGATACAGAAGAGGTATTCCCTGACTTTACTATAAACTTTACTAAGGTTGAACTAGCTGAAAGCCTTAATGAAATTATGGAAACATATCAGCAGATCAGAGTCAAATTCAGAAACCTGAAAAGGAATCTTGCTTCTGACTCTGATAAGACTGAGAGTCTCAAATTGGAGAATTCTGAGTTAAAAGATAAAATTTCAAAATTAGAAAACCAATTGCAAAACTCTCAGAAGGAAACAATCCCTGAAACTCCCAGTAATGCTGATGAGATCATCAAAGAGTATGATCACGGCTTTCAAAAGTTTCTAGCTAAAAACATAGACAGAAGCAAAATGGCTTCAATGATCTATGGAGTTAGCAGAAATGGCAGAAAAGGGATAGGATATCAAGGTAAGGTACCTAAACCAAAAAATGCCATGGATTTAGTTATAAAACGTACTCCACTTGATTCACACTTTATATATGGGCACCCACATGACATAAAATACACAAGTAGTGATTGCTCTGTCAAACCAAAATTTAACCAGAGTTTTGGTAAAACTAACAAATCAGGACCCAAGAAAATGTGGGTACCTAAGGATAAAATAATACATGTGGCAGATATCTTTAGCAGCAAAGCAAAGACACCAATCATGGTACCTGGACTCTGGCTGCTCACGACACATGACAGGAAGAAGGCATATGTTCCAAAGCCTGGAACTTAAGCCTGGAGGCCACGTAGGCTTTAGAGGCAATTAGAGAGGAAAGATCATTGGCTCTGGAACAGTAGGTAATGGAAATCTTCCCTCTATAAGTAATGTTTTATTAGTTGATGGATTAATGCATAACCTGTTATCCATAAGTCAATTAAGTGATAACGGTTATGATATAATCTTCAATCAAAATTCATGCAAAGCTGTTAGTCAGAAAGATGGGACTATCCTATTTAATGGAAAGAGGAAAAACAACATTTATAAAATCAAACTTTTTGAACTGAAAAGTCATAATGTAAAATGTCTTCTGTCTGTTAACAACGAGCAATGGATCTGGCACAGAAGATTGGGACATGTTAGTATGATAAGAATATCTCAGATTAACAAACTCAATCTGGTCAGAGGACTTCCTAACCTGAAGTTCAATTCAGATGCTCTGTGTGAAGCATGTCAGAAAGGCAAGTTTGCAAAACCTGCTTTCAAATCCAAAAATGTTGTTTCCACCTCTAAGCCATTAGAACTTCTGCACATTGACTTATTTGGACCAGTAAAAACTGCTTCATTCAGTGGTAAGAAGTATGGGTTAGTAATCGTAGATGACTATAGCAGATGGACATGGGTAAAGTTCTTAAGGCACAAGGACGAGTCACACTCTGTGTTTGTTACCTTCTGTAACCAAGTTCAGAATGAAAAGGATCTTAGAATCGTCAAAGTCAGAAGTGATCATGGTGGAGAATTTGAAAATAAAGATTTTGAGTTATCCTTTAATGAAAAAGGCATTCTGCATGATTTCTCTTGTCCTAGAACTCCCCAGCAAAATGGAGTTGTAGAACGAAA